CAAAGCAATCCTGAACAAAAAAATAATAATAATAAAATAAAGCCAGAGGCATTACACTACCTGACTTCAAATTATACTACAAAGCTATAATAACCAAAACGGCACGATACTGGCATAAAAACAGATACCCAGACCAATGGAATAGAATAGAGAACCCAGAAATTCACCCACATACTTACAGTCAACTGATCTTTTACAAAGGCACCAAAAATATACACTGGGGAAAAGACTGCCTCTTCAATAAATGATGCTGGGAAAACCAGACATCCATATGTAGAAGAATGAAACTAGACCCGTACTTCTAGCCATATACCAAAATCAACTAAAAGTGGATTAAAGACTCAAACGTAAGACCTGAAACTATAAAACTACCAGAAGAAAACATAGGCTAAAAATTTCAGGAAGAAGGACTGTGCAAAGACTTTATGAATAAGACCCCAAAAGCATAGGCAACAAAAGAAAAAATAAATAAATGGGATTATATCAAACTAAAAAGCTTCTGCCCAGCAAAAGAAACAATTAACAGAGTGAAAAGACAAGCTACAGAGTGGGAGAAAATATTTGCAAACTATGCATCCAACAAAGGATTAATATGCAGAATACGGAAGGAACTCAAACAAAAGAGTAAAAAAATAGGTAAACCTGATTAAAAACTGGGCAACAGAGCTGAACAGGCATTTCTCAAAGGAAGATATACAAATGGCCAACAGACACATGAAAAACAATCACCATCACTAAGCATCAGGGAAATACAAATCAAAACCACAATGAAATATCATCTCGCCCCAGTTAGACTGGTCACTATCAAAATTAATAGAGAATAACAAATGCTGGCAAGGATGCAGAGAAAGGGGAACACTCCCACACTTTTGGTGGGAATGTAAATTAGTGCAGCCATTATAGAAAACAGTATGGAGGTTTCTCAAAAAGCTACAGATAGAATTGCCACACAATCCAGCAATCCCACTGCTGAGTATATAACCAGAAGAATGGAAATCACCATGGTAAAGAGATACTCGCACTCCCATGTTTATCACAACTCTATTTACAGTAGCCAAGAGTTGGAATCAACCTAAATGTCTATCCACAGATGACTGGATAAAGAAAATGTGTTATATCTACACAGTGGAATACTACTCTGCCATAAAAAAGGAAATTCTGCCATTCACAGCAACATGGATGAAGTTAGAGAAAATTATGTTAAGTGAAACAAGCCAGGCACAGAAAGAGAAATACCACAGTGGGAGAGAGAGAGAGAGAAGAAAAGAAAGAAAGAAAGAAAAGGAAGGAAGGAAAGAAGGAAGGAAGGAAGAAAAAAGAGAAAGAAAGAAGGAAGGAATAATCACAATAATTTGTTAAACTTTCAGAAGGAAAGAACAGAACTGAGGCCACCAGAAGTGGGAAGGGGGGAGGGGGAGGGGGCTAGCAAGAAATTGGTAAAGGGCCACCAAAAATGCTTACTTTTTAAATGTTGAATATACTAATTGTCTTGACTTGAGCATCACATGTTGCACACAGGTATTGATATTCAATGCTATACCTCACAGATAAGTATAATCAATTACATTTCAATAAATTTTTTTTAAGTGAACGTGGCTCTGGAATGATTGAAAATAGCACAATTTCATTTATAATCACTATAATCACCCAGAATTTTCTAGATTGAAATAAGTAATTAGAAGTGAAGAGGGTATTAAAAGATTTTTATACTAGGAATCATTAAGATTCTGATTAAGGTAATTGCCCTCTTTGAAGACACTATATTTTAATTACTACTACGTTTCTCAGTATTCTTGTTCTATTTTTTGAAAGAAATGCTTTAATTCATAAAGGGTGTTTCTTATGTCTTGGAAATAACTCCAGATAGTGAAATTAAGACATTTTCATTCCAAAATGAATTAAGCAGTAAATATAACATAATAAATATAAATACATATATGAAAATAAGTACAACAAAATACATAATAACCTACAACGTTAATTCTCTCACATGCAAAGAAAGTTATTCAATTCATGTTTGTCACATACAATACATAATAAATATGTTTTCATTTAATAATACCACTTTCTTATGCTTTTCTCTCATGTGAAAAAGGTCTCAGAAATGTAAATATTTTACAGACACATATCTTCTACTCTCAAACTGACTAAATATTTAATGTAACCAATTAAAGAAAAAATTGTTTAGTATAAATAAATACGCAATCCCTGGTGATTTTTTCCCACCTCAGATTTACATTCTTGTAATATTCTGACTTGTAGTTCCACTTTTTCCTAGTTGTTATATATCTGTATATGTTTGAGAGCGGCAATATTATATTTGTAATTATAAATCCATATTTCCACTTACACAAGCAAGAATAGTAAATGTCTTCTTATTTTAATTGAAGGATTCAAAATATATCATCGTCAGCATTAGAGAATGTTGTTACAGCATGTTAAAGTTAGCAACAAAAAACAATACGATAACAGAATGTATAGAACAGACACAGAGAGGGTAAATTCTGGTTGTTCTGGGAAGTGGAAACCGCTTAACTTTAACGCAAATAAAAAATCTGAACATCAGTTTGAATAAATAGACATAACACAGAGCGCTAGATCAACTTAAGGATCTTAAGAAGAATTTATGACCTTCTGCCTGGGAAAGAAGGAAAAGGGTGGTCCTGATACAATTGCCTCGGGAAATCTGAATCTAGCAGGAAATGACCAGGCTCCCTGGGGAGACTGGGCTAAGAGGAGAGTAATTTTGAAGGTAGGAGAAGTGGCCTGGCACCCTGGCACTCACTGTTAAGTATGAACTACTCAGAATCTGGCCAGGGTGGTGGTGGTGGGGGTCACACTTCTGAGCTAATGGCCCCCCTCAGCCACGATCTCAAGAGACAAAGCTTAAAACACATCAGTTGGGAAGAGAAAGGCCCTTGCACTACCTCTTCCCTTCTGCCAGCCCTTGTATGATACCCAGAGTGAGGGAGAGGAGGGGGCATAGTGAAGCCGGGGGAGATTGAGCGAGACAGGTGGAGGAAGAGAGACAACAGGCAGATCCAGAAGTGGACCCCGGAGCCAGTTCTTCCTATTGAAGGTATTTCGGCCCTCTCTGAGGGGGAGGGCGTGGTACGGTGTAGAGAGCAGAGGCGGGGCCTGGCTGACCCCATTCCGGGTGACACTTGAAGACAGTGTAGCCTGAATCATGCTCTGCCTCTGCCTGCTCCCTTCTTTGAGTTCCTGCCCTTCCACCTGCTATGGTTCAATTCCTGCACCAGGATACTAGTTCACCTGTCTGGGCCCCAAGCTTCTGCCCTTTCCAGGTGCACAGCCTGGCCTCTTCCCTTCCTTGACCTCTCTGGCTTGGCCTTTGGGCCTCTCCTGTGGGCTGCGCAGTGCCCAGGGCTCCCTGGCTGCAGCCTGGGAGAGCTAGAAAGGGCTGAGACACCATGTCTAGATGGGACATCTGTGAAAGACAGCTGGGGCTGGACAGCTAACCGCACTGCAAAGCAAGGGAGGGGGCACCGCAAACCCTCTGTTCCCACACCCTCAGGGAATCTGGTTTTCGCCCCAATTCTGAGTACTGCCACAAATTGTTTCTTGGATTTCAGCAAACATCACAGAATATTTCATTGCATTACCCTTACAGAATTGTTTTTATTTTAAATTATAAAAGGCATAGTTAGTAAAGGACAAATATAGGAAATAACTTGAAACTCTAGCTAGGGCTAGTAACCAGGTTGATTCCAGTGATAAACTGTTTCTTATAGAGATGAACAAAATGTGAAACCAAATTGAAACTAAGTATAAAGTACAATAAACTAGGTTATTTCATTTTTGTAATTTAAATTTGATTTTTTATTTAATATTTTATAAAATTTAATTATGTATTTCTGGTACTCTTATTGATATTAGGCTATTCTGAGTTAGAAAGCATTCTATATTGGATTTCTCTACTACTTTTGTCATGTTCTAATGAAATAGAAAATATGAGCTAACAATCTTATCATGTCCTTTTTTTCATTGCTTTCCATCACTAATTTAAAAATTTTTGTCTTTAACTGTGGTAATATATACATTACCAAATTTGCCATTTTAACCATTATTAACTATAAACATGAATAGTGTTAAGTACGTTTAAATTGTGCAACCAATCTCCAGAACTGTTTTCATTTTGCACTTAGTAATTTTTTATGTTTAATATATAGAATTACTAAAGCAAATGTCTTTTTGGGGGGCAGGAGGATTTCTTTCATGATGAAATACCTTCCACTTCTAACCTCACTGATCTTATAAGTTGTAACAAGAAATGGATTATACAACCTTCAAGGGCTGGCAGCTAAACCAGCTCTCACTCACACCGCGTCTTAAGACATCATTCCATTTGCACTTCCTGCAGACAAGCAGGCACATGAGGAATGTCTTTTCATGTGTGAATGAACGCAGCTAACTTGCATACACTTCTCTATCTTCCACACGCGGGAAAACTTTTCTTTTACTGCAATATAATTAAGTCAGCACTTCCTGTGCAAACATCTAGATATTAAGAAGTACCTAATGATAAAATAATAACAACACAAAATGCCTTACAGTAGGAAAAAGTATAAATGCTTTTAATGGGAAAGAGCCACTAATTCCAAATACTGATGTCATATTATTTTGTACACCTTCAAGTTAATTCACAGCTAAGATGAAAGGAAAAAAGGCAGGCAAAAGAAACCCACAACAATGAGGAAGGTCCCAAAGAGCAAAGATTCAGCTCTTCCAGTGAGACTCATTATTTATTATCATGGTGCTTTGATATATAATATTACATTATATATGATATATTACCTATGATATGTATTAATATTATCTAATAATTATATAAAATTATATATAATAAAACATCTTGTATATTATATTAGTAAATACAGTTTTAAGTATGTATTTTTCAGTCAAACAGGGGTTATCTTACAGTGCTTTAATTCTGCAAAGTGTTTATTCTTGGGAGCCAAATACCGGAAATGAATCATTACCTTTTTAAACATTCCAGACTCTGCAGGTGAAGGACCAGGCACCTCACTGGTGGTGTGAAAGAACTGGGATTCCCCACAGCGCAATGTAAATGCCTGGCTTCCATCCAGTGCCTCCAAAGCTCTGTAAAGAGTGGAAACATAGTCACCACAAAAGCTATCAAGAATGCCAAAAACTCAAGAAACCCAAAGGCATGTTTCTCCATGTCTTCTTCCAGTCAGCCAAAATAACAGACCATTCTTCAAAATCTACACAGCATTGTAAATAATTTGATAGTTCGTAACACATTTATAAATAAACCTTGATGACTTCGCCATGTGGCTAACTGAATTCTTTTAAACCCTATGCGGAAAACAAATTAGAGATAGATAGGGAGACAGATAATTTGTAAGATTTCTGAACATTGGAAATAAAGTGGGAACTGAATCCCACCCAGTTAGTGGAAGAATCTAGGCTATGCCAGAAAAGGAAATATTCTCAGGATTATAATATTTATCAGACTTAAAAGGAATGGAAACTAATGAAGGCAGAGTTTTTGTTTTTTTTTTTTAATTTGTCAATATACAATGCAGTTGATTGTCATAGAGTTTTCTAACAGATGCTGACAGTTGTCTACTCTAAAACTGTTTCCTTTATCTATCCCCCCCACCCTCACCCACACATTTTCTTTGCTAATAACCCTGACTTTTTTCAGATATGCATCCTCCACGTGCTTCAGAGGAAGCTGCTTCCAGCCCTGGTAGTCAATCATGACTGGTCTAATCCTAGTGTCCCACTCCTCTCACCAGTAATGGATTTAAGCATATGCCTATTCATGTCTCTCTTGCTGGTATTATCACACACATATCTCCCTGACCCTCTAAAGTGTTCATACCTAACTCTACTAATCTGGTGCAATTCTGACCAATGAGATGTGAGGGAAGTCTACTGAAGGAATCTGGGAAAGGTCTGTCCTTTAAAAGAAGGTTTACTGAATAATTCCTCTTCCCTGCTGGCCAGTGTCTCACCTGCCTGTGATGAATATGATTGGCACATCTTGAGACCATGAGTGGCATTAGCCTAAGGAGAATAGATCAAGGAGAAAGCAGGGCAGAAACATAAGAGCAACTTACATCTTCAATCCTACACCTGGCCTATCTCTGGAGTTCTTGTTGTGTTTGATAACAAATGCCCTATTTTTAAAACCATTTTGAGTTAGGTGTTCCTTCTTTTTTTAAAATTTTATTTTATTTTGTCAATATACAATGTGGTTGATTATTGTGGCCCATTACCAAAACCTCCCTCCCTCCTCCTCCTCCCCCTCCCTCTCAACAATGTCCTTTCTGTTTGCTTGTCGTGTCAACTTCAAGGAATTGTAATTGTGTCTTCTTACCTCCCCACCACCCTGGATTTCTGTGTATTTATTTATTTATTTTTAGCTCCCACAAATAAGTGAGAACATGTGATATTTCTCTGTCTGTGCCTGACTTGTTTCACTTAATACAATTTTCTCTAGGTCCATCCATGTTGTTGTAAATGGTGGTATTTCATTCTTTTTTATAGCAGAGTAGTATTCCATTGTGTAGATATACCACATTTTCTGTATCCACTCATCCAATGATGGACATTTGGGCTGGTTCCAACTCTTGGCTATTGTAAAGACTGCTGTGATGAACACTGGGGAACAGGTTACCTTCGGCATGATGATTTCCATTCCTCTGGGTATATTCCCAGCAGTGAGATAGCTGGGTCATATGGTGGATCTATCTGCAATTGTTTGAGGAACCTCCATACCATTTTCCATAGAGGCTGCACCATTTTGCAGTCCCACCAACAATGGATGAGAGTTCCTTTGCTTCTTTCTTACCTTCCGTTGAGCATCACAATTTATACAAGGGTTGATAGATTTCTTAAGCCTATAATTAAGGCTGGAAATAAACACTTGAGCAGGATAGAAGCTTTGAATGAAGAATGTCAATGAAGCAGAAAGAGAAGTAAAAATTCAAGGACTCAGTGCTTCACAGAAGAAATAGAAGCTTTTGTAGAATTTCTACGATGTGCAAAGGATAAAAAGATAAACAGGGCAAAGTACTAACAGTTTAGAGGGAAAGGGAGACATAAATCAATACAGAAACGTCAGCAAAGGAGATATGTATGAGCATAATTTGGGGAACTCTATCATGTACATCTTTATTTTAAAAACATTATTCTTTGCATTATATACAACTTTGTTAGCAGCAATATATTTCTTTTTGTCTTCCAGTTTTGTTCTATAAAAGTAATACTTGTACATAGTAAAAATAATTCCATCAGTATACAAGGGAATTGAAATAAAAAAGAATCTCTCTAGCCACACCACAATTTCATTCTGTATAAATAACCACTCTGAATGGTTTCCTTCTTGCAACATGCCATAGATAAGCACTTATAAAAGTATATTTCTACCTTCTGAAGGAATGTTGATGTTTACCTTTGAGGCAAATCTCTCCTCAAGAATTTAGAGATGGTAAATGCAAAAGGACAGCAAACATGGCTCACTCAGGAGAATTTAGATAACGACTGGAAAGTATCTTAAAGTTAAGAAGTTGTTATATAGTCTTACCATGGGTGTGTCTTTGCATCCAGACCTATTTTTACGAATTGCTCCTCTAACCCCAGCTGCAGCATTCACTTTGTCCTTCTCCTCACAAATACGCCAACAGGAGCAGCCAGCAAGGGAAGATCCCTTGGACTTGAAAGCTTATTCCAACAACCACAGATGTACAAATTGAAAAAGTAAACCAGAAATGTATAGGTAGTCTGCCACCCTTAATATTTTTTCTTTTTAGACAAAAATATGTGTCCCTTGAATAACTCAAGGGACTGCAGAGATAAAAGTCATCTTTGTGTGCTTCCTAAACTTTATATTGGTGGAGGTGGGCACCCCCAAAAGGAGCTATCTCTTCCTGCTAGCTACTGATGTGATTTAAAGCTGGCAAGGGTACTCTTTCTATATATTTTGCAGGTGATCCAATTCCTGCTTATAATATAGGATCCTTTTGGCTCAGCTCGTAAAAAACTGATAGAAACCAAAATGTATTATCACTTGTAAAACAAGAGGGGTGGAGTGAGTTGGTTTAATCGGTTTGTTTGGTTGCTACTGAATTCAGTGGCTGCTACAGTTCTAGTTGTCACATAAAGGTGTGATAATTCCAGAGGATGAAAAGACTCTTCCAGTATATCTCATTTAGAAGTTTAGAAGTAAGGAGATCTTCCCTAGAAGCACCTATCAGATTTCTCTACATGTCTCATGCCTATATCAGACCAATGATGACTGGATCTACCCCTGAGGCTGGGGCCTGAAGGACATCACTGTGCAGAGAGTAGGCACTTGAAAAAAACAGGGTTTGATTAGGAAAACAGGAGTAGGGGAGAGGTGGAAATGGATGCTGGTGTGTGTTCTGTCACCTCCCTTTGTCTTGAAACATGTTCCTCACAATTACTACACTGTTGGTAGAGGCAGAATCAGTATATATTTATGATCAAATGTGAACTATGAAAGAAGAAACTTTCATGATTTTGGCCTCATGACATGAACCCAGGGAGCCTGCTTGCTCTCCTGACTTGGGGATAAACTACCATGACTTAGCATGCCATCAAAGGGTATTCTGTATGTTCAGCATCGTAATCCCCCAGACGGGAGGAAACACATGGCATTTGGGGTAGATTTCATCTATCAATGGCCAGTGGAAGGGGAAGACTATCAAGATAGCTCCAGGGAAGGTCTTGCTTCACCGTAAGTCTGAAACAGGAAATCCTGCATGTCTGTACACCCAATAACCTTTGCCTCCCTTTGAGGGGAGGAGGAGGATGAGGTATTAGCTGACTGCCTTTTCCTCGTGACCCAGATCCAAGCAGTGCTGCTGTGCACCTGGCCACAGATACCATTATCTCCCAGGACTTGGTTGGGAGTGAGGCAAGGCCACTGGAAGTGTGGGCTGACAGGGCTTCCCAAGCAGAGCTCAGCTGCAGAGTGGCTTCTCACTGAACTTCAGAAGCTCAGGCCATCCCACGAGCATTTTCTACTTCTTCTCCAGAGTGTCAGTCACAGACCTTCTACTCATAGCAAACTTACTGGACAAGTTTGTCTTCTGAAATACAACCTTCACAATGTCTTACACAGAAAGAATAGGCTTGGCATCAAACTGGAGGGTCTCTAGGCACTGTTAACTTTTTAACAGTACTTTGTGTTCATTCTTTCAGCATTTTGGTGGTCTCCCATTATATGTCATACATCAAAGTGCACAAAGAGGAACAGACCCACTCCCCATCCTCAAGGATATTAAGGTCTAATAGACATAAGGGTTCATTGAAAGGGCAAAAATATTTTCAATTTTGAATAATGGCACATTTGGAACTAGAGATAGGTAAGACTCCTTAGCCTAAAAAGCCAACCCTAATAAATGTTTGCAACAGGCCAATTGGAAAGTTTGTTAATTTTTCCTTTCCAAAGGGCAAATTTTAGTTTCACTTCTGATGAGCAGGCTACAGGTGGTCATAAGAAAGGCTAAGATTGGCTCCCGAGTGAGAAATTTAAGACTTGTGAGAAATTTAAGACTTGTAAATGAAAGCAGTTTCCTTTGTGAATAGTCACTACTGGTCACTTACTAAGGACAATAACCTCTTGGGAAAATAAAATAAAATCCATAAATGCTACCATATTGGTCTGGAGTCTTAGCAGAGGATAAATAATTTACTAATTATAATCCTTTTTCCTTCCCTTTTTTAGCACAGATATTTTGCTGCCAGACTGAGTTTCAGTGTTAAGTACTCAATTTTCCTGACTTATGAGTGAAACATTCACCATCTCATTCAATTATTCTTTATGTTTCCTTTTTATTTGGCTTACTTTTAAAAACCAGATTGCCCTTCTCCCTAGAGATTAAGTTGGTAGCAAAGTTAATAATGGCAAAATTGTTTCTTTCCTAAATTAAAAGAGCCACATAGCTATTCTCAAACAAATCCAAGCTTTGTGAGGCCTGAAACTTACATAATATGGGTGGCCCTCTTACAGAAAAAGAAAACAAAGTATCTTACTTTTTCAAAATTTACACTGCTGGGGCCTCTCCTAAAGCCTCCGAAGTGGACCTGAAGCTGAAGCTTCA